CCCCCCCCACACTCTCAACACGAATTTTTCTTCAACAAGAGATTGAGGGGTGGGGATGGGGGAGAATAGAGGAGAGAGAAACTTGTTGTGAATACGTTTTTGGTTTCATTTATTTTTCATCTCGCGCTTCTTTAGCGTATATTTGGTCATTGTCCTATGTTATTTGAGTTGCACGATCTACTTTTTTCAGGTCTTGCATGCAGGGAAAGGAAACAAGAATGCTGCTAAGGCACTAATCGTTGCGGAGTACATTGGTGTGAAAGTTGATTTGGTTGAGAACTTTGAGATGGGTGTCAGCAATAAAACTCCTGAATTTATCAAGATGAACCCTATTGGGAAGGTAGGCCTGCCAGACTCTGAAATCTTCTGTATTACAGACAAATTTGTGTTATGTTTCAACCAACCTTCTGAAGAAACTTATGCTTGCTGTCCTTTTTAGGTTCCTGTGTTGGAAACCCCTGACGGGCCCGTCTTTGAGAGCAATGCTATAGCACGATATGGTAAGTCTTCATGAAATCTTTTTTGTTTCTATTATCCTTTTCTGACGGGTATTTAATTGGTGCTTATTTGCTGTTGCAGTTACCCGCTTGAAGGCTGATAACCCTCTCTATGGTTCTTCTTTGATTGATTATGTAAACCATCTTTTTGAGTTCCTTTTCTTATAATTAAAAAAAATCAAATATGTGAATATAGAAGGCTGACCATGCTTAATGCTGTATTTTTCTTAATCTACAGGGCCATGTCGAGCAGTGGATCGACTTTGCTACACTGGAAATTGATGCTAACCTTATCAATTGGTTTTTGCCAAGAATCGGACGAACCCCATATCTTCCTCCAGTGAGTTGCATTTTCTTTTGTTATTTAGCTATTTAACCTTGTACTTTCGTAGCTATTTCAGATTACCACAATATTGCAAAGATCATTGATCTGGTTTTTGTTTTTTCATGAAGGCTGAGGAAGCTGTGATCTCAGCGTTGAAGAGAGGGCTGGCTGCTTTGAACTCTCACCTTGCGTCCAACACTTACTTGGTTGGGCATTCTGTGACCCTTGCTGACATTGTCTTGACATGCAATTTGTACTTTGGTTTCGCCAGGCTCTTGACAAAGAGCTTCACTTCAGAGTTTCCTCATGTTGAAAGATACTTCTGGACCTTGGTTAATCAACCAAACTTCAAGAAGGTATTGGGTGAGGTCAAGCAGACCGAATCTGTCCCACCCCTTGTTCAATCTGGAAAGAAGGCTGCACAGCCAAAAGAAGCTGCCAGGCCCAAACCCAAGGAAGAGCCAAAGAAAGAAGCCAAGAAAGAGCCAGCGAAGCCGGCCAAACCAGAAGGTGAGGAAGAGGAAGAGGCACCAAAGCCCAAGCCTAAGAACCCTCTTGATTTGCTGCCCCCATGTAAGATGATTTTGGACGAGTGGAAGAGGCTCTACTCGAACACGAAAACCAACTTCAGAGAGGTTGCAATCAAAGGTATTGCTTTTCCTCATGGCCTGATAGTTTTCTTTCTTAAATTTTATGTCATTTTTTCCTTTGCTTGTTTGTGCCATCTAATTTCTTTGTTCAATAATTTGTATTCTCCTTGCAGGATTCTGGGACATGTATGATCCTGAGGGATACTCCCTGTGGTTCTGTGACTACAAATACAATGAGGAGAATACTGTTTCCTTTGTGACATTGAACAAGGTCGGTGGATTCCTTCAGCGAATGGATCTGGCTCGCAAATATGCATTTGGAAAGATGCTAGTCATCGGCTCGCAGCCACCTTTCAAGGTGAAGGGGTTGTGGCTCTTCCGCGGGCAGGAAATTCCTCAATTTGTAATTGATGAGTGCTACGACATGGAGCTCTACGAGTGGAAGAAGGTCGACATTTCAGATGAGGCCCAAAAGGAGCGCGTTAATCAGATGATTGAAGATGCCGAGCCTTTTGAGGGAGAGGATCTTTTGGATGCCAAGTGCTTCAAGTGAAAACTCTAGTCCCTAGCTAAAAGGGGTGTGTGTTTTTGTCTCGGTCGTTTTTTGTTTGGTAGAGTTTGTTTTTGTAATTCTGTTCGAGATCAAGTCTTTAGCCTTTCTTGTGTTTTTGAGTTACAAATATAAGTTATAATCATTTTGTTTTGGTCGTTTCATTTTGGAACATGATTTAAGACATTTAATATAAAATGAAAATCTTCACTAGACTAATGCATATATGCCATCAAAGTGGAATTAAAAATTTTGTTGCCTCTTTTCTTAAATAAAAAAGATTCAGATAATTCATGAACGGCATCTTAGATGCAATATTAAGGAATTTGCAAGTTATTGCACTTGCACTTATTGTGTGCGCCAGTTGTTGATGGGCAAGTTTTTAAGGTCTTGCTCAGCTCTAGTTTTTGAGTTTTAAATTTAAGTTGAGATTGAATTTTAAATTTAAGCTGAGATTGA